AAGTTTTTAACTGTTTTTCTGATTCTGAGTTGATGGATATCATCACTAATGGCAGGTCATGGTTTAGTTGGCTTTTCGTACCGTGGTTCAGAAAGTTGCACTTACTCATGGTCAAGTCAGGGTTTTGGTGAGCCAACTTTGGGGAGAAGTCGTGTTCTATTTCAACGTGGTATTGCCTCATTTTATGCACTTGAGTGATACAGAAAAGTACTTCGTTCACCGTCACTGCAATGCGATGGTCAGAATAGCGATATGCTCTGCGATGAATGCTCCAGTTCATCCCCAGAAGAAAAGAATCGCCAACAGAAAGTAATTTATTTCCACTCACTTTCAGACTCTCTAGTTTGTGCAGCCTCTTGACAGTTTCACTAGGCAGGTGATTCAGTGCATTACTGCTCAAATCAAGGTGTATCAGCTGCGAGAGGGACCCAAATGCCCCTGGATGGATGCTCTGGATGAGATTTGATTTCAAAGAAAGATGGCCTAGACTCTCTAGGTTGTAAAACCAAGATGACCCAATACTCTGCAGTGAGTTATAATCGAGTAACAGCACATTCAGAGTGGTAAGTTTTTGAAAGCAGTTAGAATCTATGCTGCTGATGTTGTTGTGTGATAATGACAGACTTTTGAAAAGGTTTGGGAACTTCAAAGCGTTAAACCATTTTTGATTAAGGCGAGTCAAATTGTTGAAGTCAAGGTTTAAACTAGTTAACTCAGTAAACGCAGCCAGAGCAAAGTCCTCTATATCTGTGATGCCACATTCAGCCAGAGCGAGTGAGTGTGCTGTTGACTGCTGAGGGAGGCGTAATTTCTGAACAGAGAGCAGCCCGAATGAGAATCCTCTAACTGCTACATACATGTTATTAGGAAGGCATGTTGAGTTTGTTTGGGACGAGTGAAAGACGTGTTGTTGCTGTATCTGCTCGGAGCAGAGGATACATGTGACATAAGGTCCGTTAACCTTCAAACCGGACGGCCGGATACCTAACCATCTGGTACCGGGGACGCAATCTGACCACGATGTTGTGATATTGCACCCAGGAAAACATGTCAGATCTAAACTGGCAGATATCACTTTGACAATGATAAGAACGATTACAATCTGCTGTGCTGCTTTCTGCATCGTAACAGGTTGTTTCAGATAACAAATTAAAAATCGAAGAATTTGGTTAAACTTTTCTCTGGAGTTTAAAAAATAACCTGATCGCGCCTACTCTCCAGGCAGAGGTTCTTGTTTTGTCTTACTTTTAGCGTGTCTTTCTTATCGGGCTTTCTTTTTTGCACTGGTATTTTTTTTACATTTGCGGAAAAAAAGATAGCGTGGATAGAGTAGATTGCGCCTGGAACAACTTGACTGTTGTCCTGCTGATTCTGATGCTGTGTGGCTATGAGGCGAATGAATGGTCTGTTGTCTGCCCTGAAAATAAAACATATCTGCAATAAGTAACAACTATGGGGGGTCAGAGAAATAGTTATGTAAAACAGTTAACATACCTACACAGTCTTCTTATCAATATGGATCGAACCTGTGCAAAACTATGTCGTCCGGATTATTCATAAGGCTGCCAATCATGTCTTTTCTGTCTGGCCCTTCTAAAACCATGGAGGTAGAAAAAAGCGGCGGGTGATAAATGCGTCCTCCCTCCTTTCCTTTTTTCTACCTCCATGCTTAAACGCAGTACAGGAACGCGCCAAGATTTATTTTTTCATGTTTTATGTTATAAAACAAAAAAAAATCTCTTAAAATAAAGTAAAATCCCGCGCCCATGAGATTTACCTCGAACATGTTAAAGAACCCACCACACTTCTCGAAAAGAGTAGAAGCCCATCCCCGTGCAAGTGCCCATAAAACTACAGTCCTGTGCTTGTACAAACTGTGTTTAACGTCTAGAGGTTTACCGATTACGCAAAATAAACAAAACTCGACTCACCTGACCTCGTCCTTCTCAGTACAAGTCGTACAAATATCGTCTGCGTCTGCGTCTCTCTCTTTTCCGTCCCAGTCTCGTATATATCTATGGATATAGAAGAACTTTATTGCACGACAATTGTACAGGGTACATTGTATGGCAAATACTAGTAGGTAACAATAAGTAGTATAGTAAAATAGATAGGTATAGAATAAAACTTAACAACTTATATATAGAAAAGAAATAATCAAAAGTTAGCTTAGGCTTTACAATCAGGCGGAGTTATCTATGGGTACATGTGACAGCAAATCAGTATTCTTTCTAATAACAAAAGTCTTTTATGTATTTACCTATTTTTGCATATATCAGGTACTAGTATGTCTCTGAGGGCATGGAATTGGAAGACGGAGTCCATCCCTCTCCTTCCACCGTCCTTTACCTCCCCAGCCGAAGTCAGGTACCTATTTTACACCTGGGTGGCCTGGTGTCCAGTCTATCATGGCTGGGGCGGGTTCTCTTCGGGGCTACCCTGGATGCCAGAACTCGTTTTGCGGACGGCAAGAGCCCTTCGCTACGGGGGAGTCTAGCCCGGGGCCGCCGTTTCAGTTCTAGGGCCGGACAAACCCCTCAGGCGGGCTCAACTCCCCGTAGCGGTAATTTAGATAGGTGGGCGAAGGGCTCTTGGCTGTCGAAGGAAAACGGCTAACGGCCCGATACTAGTTCTGGCATCCAGGGTACTTCGGGGCCGGCTGCAGAAGCTCTAATCTCCGGCCGATAGGTTCCCGGTTTTGGGAAAATTAACTCCTGGCGTGCAAAACTCCTACCGGGCGGCCTGCTGAACTGGACGGGGGGAAACTATTAAGAGTCCCGAAGACAGCCAGTCCCAACAACGATATACCGCACACCTAACATCTGGGCGGAGTACTGAGTGCCTTTCCTACTGCTGAGGTCACATTTCCAAATCGGCGCCCGGCCGGGCAGTCTTATAAAACGAAAACGGTATGATATAAAAGACAATACAGCACAAAAAAGTTGAAAAATTGATAGCAGGAACTAGTTCCGTATATAATTATATTTTTGACATAGATTGTTGATTTTTCGTCAATAGAAACAGCCCGATCGGGTCCTGGTTTGGAAACGTGACCTCAGGATAAGGACGTAAGGACAGCGAGAAATGCCAGACATCGAACCTGTGATTCCTGGCATTTCTGTGTTATTAAACTACCAACCTCACGAGTCTATCTGGACTTGTGTCCGTGAAGCTAGTACAAAATCACAGAACTCTTCCCATACCTTCCCACACGCACCAGACACCCAGTTTCCTCCCACGCTACATGTATGTCTGCTCTGCGGATGAGCTATGTGGCGACTGTGAGGTATTTAACTGAGCGGGGGAATTTAGCAGTTTAATCTCCCATCATCTGTGTCAGCTGATTTAAAATGCATTGTCTGGGGAAATTGTCTGGGGAAATGTCTACTTTTTTTTTTCGATGGATTCCCCATGTAATATCTTGCAGCATGTTATGAGTTACAGTAAGCATTTTGATAGTAACCGTTTCCAAAATCATACCGTTGCTTGAGTACTAACTTGTTTTTGGCGTATCTTATTACCTGGATGTCTAACCTTCACCAACAGATTTACATGATGGTGAAAAACTACTTTTGGCAAAACTGATGAAAATTCATGCACGAGCGGATGTCATCCATATAATCTAATCAACGTGGCCTAATAAAAAAAATGAAGCAGGAGATCCTAGAACCAACAAATTAAATTGTTGAGGCCTTAGTATACAATAGATTAATACTTATCCAAGACAAACTACTTTCTCTTTCAGTTGAATTTAATGTCCACGAACTGAAAAGGTTGTGACACCCATAATTATCATCGAGGAGTGTCTTGTCATCCTTCAAAACATATCTGGAGGGCTGCAGAACAAAACAAAAGATGCTCTATCATTATATCGTTATCACAGTCCGGAAGAAAGAAGCGGTAACAAAGCCTAGCGTTCAAAATATTGGCCGCTCCATGCCTTCGCAATGACGTATCCGCGAAATTCTTAAGAACTACGTTCGCGCGTTGGAAGCAATTACCTTGCACCTGTAATTACCAGTATGATGTATTACCTGTCCACACGTGTGTTTTCTCCTTCCTTGTTCCTTATCCATCATTTCAGACAAAAAGTCCAGACAACGTGGACAAAGATTACTTTAAAACATAAAACTTTAATTTCTCACTACTAGTATTCCGTATTTGACATTCAACCGTTCTCCAGTAACGACTACATTTTGCAGCATAAAGGAACAGTTTCAATATCAGCAATGTTTTTTTTCCTGAATAAATACATCTTTCCTCCACCAAAAAACAATACACAACAAAAGTGAATAAAGGTGATAGTTTCATGTGAAAAAGGGCACAAAATTTCTTGACACAAAGGATATCAATTCAATTTAAAGAATCTACTTAACAATAATACCAGATCATAAATCTATTTTCTACTAAAATATTACTTCAAAACTCTTTTTTGCTGCTGCATACAAGGAATAATTGAGGTGGGACAAAATAAGTAGAAAATAATGAGGAAATTTGACAGAGCAGCACTAGCTGATTTTCTAAGCAGTGATTTTCTTATTTAATAACACGCAAAGTTGTGACCTTCTCCAAGAATCTTGTGCAGAGCCCCTTGTCTTTGTACAGCTACAACACAGAAGTTTGTCCTTAGGTTTAATCTACATTTGCTGAAAACTGTTAAGTGGTGACAGTGAGAGTAGTTTAAAAAAAAACAGCTGTAAGCTTGGAAAACAAAAATAAATACATATGTCGAGCAAAACAAAATAAATACATCTATATCAGGTGTGCCTTTCTGACGAATGATTGTAATTCACAGACTTTGATAAGGAACGTTCCGTTCAAAACTTGATGGTCAAGAACATTCTAATTTACTCTCCTGTGGTTTGCAACTTTTTTTTAAATCAGCAAAATCAAATTTTACCATAATGTCTCCAGTTCCATTCTATGATAAAGAAATCTTTCCAAACTTGAGCTTGAGCTCGAGTATAAAAATTCCTGTACTAAATTCCTGCCCCCACCACATTCATGTTGCAACTCCCCCGTTTGAAATCTTGGAATGGAACAGCCCTGATTATCTACTACAAGTGAACCCTGAGATGTCATCCTAACTTTTCGCCGCGTTTTCTGCCTGACTTTTCACCTCGTTGTCGTGTTCGAAGATGAGTTTTGCGAGCTGCTCTTTCGACGCCAGTCCCTCGGCCTGGCTGACCAAACAGCTGTGGTACAAATCCTCGCTCAGGTGAGGGTTACACGTGCGTGGCATGTACCGCTGTCGTAAGTCCGGCTCCACCGCCCGGAAAACGTGAAGGTCCGAGTGTTTAAGGAACATTTCGTAGAGGTTGTAGGTCTCGGACACATCTTCGTTGTCCTTGCGATGTTTCTGCAGCTCTGTCCGGGTGTTCATGTAGTCTGAGTTATAAAAACACGCCTCGTCAAACGCGTGGATGTCAAAGTGGCCAAACTCCCGCCCGAACTCGACCGTCGCGGGGTACGGTTTCGTGTCGTAGACCAGTTCGGGGCTGTACTGCGCGAAGTGGATGGGGAAGAACGCCTGCCAGCCCGCGATCGTGTTCATCCTGCAGCGATTCAAGAACTCGATGCTCAGTTCGTCCGTGACAGTCACCAACAAGAACAGGGCGTCAACCGGATGCTTCTTCGAAATGATGTCCATGATTTTTAGCTGAGTTGGCACGTCAGTCTTGATGCTGATCCACGGGATTTTGGCGTTCGGGTACTTTCTCTCGTAGTAAGTAATCATCGATTTCAGCATGCCAAAAACGTCGTCCTCTTGGATGTTCTGCGCGTCGAGAGGATCGTAGATGAACACGATCGTCAGCATGGAGTTCTCGTGGATGTCGAGAACCACCTGCGCGTACGAGTCCAGGAACTTCGCAACCTGTACGGAAACACAACATGGTCATGTTTTCTTCTGTAATGAGCTAATGTAAACAATGTCCCTAACTAAAGCTAGGTTCTCATTTTCACTTGAGTAAAGTGAGGAAAGTCGTTTTAAGTCATGCCATTCCAAAGGGTACAAGATTTGTGACATGGGTATGATTCTGGACTTCTCGGTTCAAGGGCGAACATGCTACCGCTACGACACCACACCCCACTCATTCCTTCACTCATTCTTATTCATTCATTCACTCACTCCCTCACCTGTTCCCTGTCGTGCACGGTGACAGGCAGTATAACGTACAGCCGCGTTGTCTCCGTTACGTAAGGCATCGGAATTATCTCCACTTGGCTCAGCGGCCGCAGCAGTTTGACCCGTTTTGTCACGACGTCGCGAACTTTGTCGGGTCCCGTTTCCCCCACCAGGAGGTCAAGTTCGTACTCCATCCCCCGCGTAGGGTCAAACCTGGGGTCAACATCAACATTTTGTTAATCTCAAAATCAACGTTAAATCATATTAAGTTAAGTCATGATCGTTTTGTTTAACCTATATATAATTTGTAATGATTATGTATGTTCACTCTCTTTAAATTGTGTTGTCAGTATGTTTGTATGTTATATGTTTTGAACCCTGGAAGACTAGTCATATGACTAAAGGGTATCGAAATAAACGAATAAACGAACGGTTAGGCACTGTGTATGACTTCGTGAGGTGTTCATATAGTAGATCCGCATTTAATTTTCTTAAAGCTCTCAACTCTTCACGAAAACAGCACGAAGTTTCAGAGTCTGGTCTCAGGCTTGACATCTTGAAGAGGTGATAGTCACATGTTATGTCAAACCTTCCACAAATGTGGTAAATCTTCATTAAGTGAAATAAAAAGAGCATGTTTTTAATGGTAGATTGCAGATCAATTATAGATACCTTCGATACCCGTTCAGCAGGCGAACATGGTCGAACACCAGCCCCTGTTTCTGGTACTTGTCGTTGAGCCGCTGTACCGACGTCCCGATGATGTCCTCCACATCCAGCTTGTCGATTCCCCGCAGCTCGCATTTGGGCGCTCCGTCCGGACAGGTGTACAGGTGTGTCTCCGTGAAGTAGTCCCAGCTCAGCACGTCGAACCGAGTCTGCGGCTTGAACGGAGGGTTGATCCCGATCGGCCACGTCAGACCAGCCTCGCCCTCGGGTGTCTTGTGGCTCAGGTTCTTAATCTGGGTCTAGAAATCAATAATTCAATCAATTAATAAATTAATCAATAAATAATAAATTGGACAGAGGGTTGATTCCGATCGGCCACGTCAGACCAGCCTCACCCTCGGGCGTCTTGTGGCTCAGGTTCTTAATCTGGGTCTAGAAATCAATAATTCAATCAATTAATAAATTAATCAATAAATAATAAATTGGACAGAGGGTTGATTCCGATCGGCCACGTCAGACCAGCCTCGCCCTCGGGCGTCTTGTGGCTGAGGTTCTTAATCTGGGTCTATAAATCAATAAATTAATCAATAAACAAATTAATCAATAAATCAATAAATTAATCAATTCATGCAGGAGTCTTATGGCTCACTATAATCTGGGTCTGTGGAAACATCAATCAATTACTGTAAATTCATTTACTTTCCAGGTGGTGATATTTCACGGTAGGAGATATTTTCGCGGGAATTTAGATTCGCGGTTGAACCAATTCCGTACTACAGTATTAATGTAATTCGCAAAAATAAAACTACCGCAAAAATTTCTGAATTTACAGTAATCAATCAATCAAGCCCAATCAATAGCCCGTCATCAACAACATATCTATTTTTGTCCCCACCTTGATGTTTTCTATCTCGGTGTAAGCCAGGTCCAGCTCTATGTGAGCGAACCTACGATGGAGTCTGTAGAAGTCTGTTGGTTCCACTACAGGGTGGACTGTGTAAGCCTGGACGGGTACACAACAACATATCAAACATGTAACATTTGTTAGGCCTTTATATGATGTAAACTGGATCTGTGTCATATATTTTGTCTGACCCTTACCTAAATAAAAGTTTAAACTAATAAAATCAGGTGCTAAATTCTATCAACAAACCAACCTTCTGAAACTCCTGACTGTCCTCGTTATCAGGATCAATAGTAGAAGAGAACTGGTAGGTGTTGTAGTCAACTCCCTGCACAAATAAAAATGAATCGATGAATGTTAATATTATCTATGATATACTTCAAACAATTTTTTTGACAGTAACTGACAGAATTGTCATTATTGGGATAAAAGTTTTGGCTCTAATAAAACATACTAAACCATACATACTAATCTATGCTACAGGTAATACATAAATTATATATATCTAACAAGTTACGTCACACCAAACACATCCCTACTTCTGACGTCAGTGTGCCCATCCTTCCCTCCCTCCCCTGTTTGTCTGTGTTGTTTGTTTTGTTTTCAAACCAAACAATCTTCTGTTATCATCCTGGGTAACATCTGGAACTTTTCTCAGCCTCTCCTGACAAAAACACTGCTGATTATACTGTAGAACTGCAGGGAGAAAGTCTTAAGTCTGAAGAAAGTCGTATGTCTTAAGTCTAATTCTGTAGAATGGCTTCTGATATCAAATACTGTAATTACTGATTTTTTCACTGTACTGTTATGTTCACTGTAACTTCTGTACCGTGAACTTATCATTATGGTTAACAAATAATGCCTGCACTTTCTTTTTCCTGCACCTGTCGCCACTGTGAATATATATTTAGTTTCCCCTTTGGCTCCTATCTTGTTTTCTTACTCCTTGTGTAATAGGTGTGGGTCTGGAAAAAGTAACTTAAGTGAAGTGTGCTAACTTTTGTTTTTACTGTCAAAATTCCAAAACACCCAAACACTTCATTTCCAGTGACCTTGTGGTGACCTTGCTGATGGTAAGATCAGATGTCTGTGTCAAGTTACATTCCACACACGGTCAAATTTGGGCTCAAGGGCAATGTTGTTTTGGGTCGTCAGGCTGAAGGTCTAAGATGGTCTCCATAGCAACAACAGACAAACAAACAAACAAACAAACAAACAAACAAATGTACCTCGAACTCCTCCACACAGCTGATGCCCATGACGTCATGTAAACACCTCCCCAGCCACTCGTCTGGTTGCAGGTCTAATATCGTCTCCATGCAACCATCCAGGTTACGCTGGAGAGCCGACATCACCGAGTGGGACAGGACTACTCCATGGCCAACCTGACATCAATACATCAATCAATCAATACATCAATCAATCAATCAATGAGTAAATCTATATCAATTAACCAACCAACCAACCGATCTATCAATAAATTGATCTATTTAACAACCAATATATACCTAAAGCAACCAATTATACATTTTCCAGTATATAAATCTATAAATCTATTGATCAATCAACCAATCAATTGGTTTATTTATCCAAGAACTGACCCAGCAGTTTGGCACTGAAATGCTGATGTTATTTCAAGTTGCATCAAACTTGCCATTCGATAATCTTGAAAATGTATATAAAAGCAAATGCTAGATGTTATTTTGATACAGTACCTTGCAGTAGTATCCATCCATGTCTCTAAACGGTACACGTTTGCCCATGTACACATCCCTGTCATGGTAGGAACATAATAATCAGTCACTGGCAGTAAGAACTGTGCACCTGTGCAACTTTTTATCAAACAGTGACACGTTGTAGTGCTGAAAGTGTTTAAAACAGTTTCAAAACAAGACTGGATAAACCATTGGGGCAAGAAGAAATACCAGGAGTGTCAGAAGAGGGTGTTACAACTGGGGGATTCTCAAGGTAGCCTTGGTACCATCCCGGTTAGTTTACGTCCGTTCCCAGTCGCTCCCACCAACCAAGCGACAGTGTGGGAGCGGACATAAACTAACCAGGATGGTACCCAGGCTATTCTCAAGGTATTGTTAAGGTAAATAAGAGACTACAATTACTGATCATGACCTGTTCATACTGATGTGATCAAATATATCCACCACGCGCTCCCCCTGTACGTAGGTGTGATCCGTGACTAGGTACGTCCAGTCGTAGTCCCGGTGGAAGTGGTCGTTAATGTACCGGATTGTCTGCGCCAGTTCCCAGACGGGCCGGTCATCGCCGTGGGTCACCACGTACATGCCTCCGGGCGCCTTCACGTTCCTGTAAACACGTAAACAAACAGAGCAAGAGGATGTAAACAAACAGAGTCAGATAAATTTCAAGACAAGGCAGGATGTCCTTCATTTCAATGGCCCATAGTATCAAAGTATGTGACATTTTAAAACCTCAACATATATCAAAATATGTGACCTTTTGGCCATAAATATATGAAAATAACCTTGAGAACAAAACCATCACCTGAATGACATGTACTATGTTTTTATTAGCATATTTGCTACTGTAATCCTTTCGCATTTTTGGTGTTTTGGTGCAAACTGTGCTAAAACAAGCTACGCCAGCTATACAGATACAGTATTCAAAGCTGGTGTGTCATGCCAAGAGGCAGATACACTGGCTACTAAGTATTCAGACACTTAGACACAGAAGTCTTCTATCGCCTAACAGCCTACATTGTACACCTACCTTGTGCCTGTGAAGTACAGAAGTTTATGGATGTAGTGTGCCAGGGTCTTGTTCAGTGCGACTGCCACCGTGTCCAGTTTCTCCCTCGATGTAATCACACCGACCACTAACTTCTCCCGAATGCCCAGCTCCGTGCTGATGTAACGTGCGCGGAACGGAGCCTTGCCTCCGGACTTCACCGGCTTTGGGTCCTGTAGGCAGAGTTTTAGAAGGGGAAGAATTTATTCCTCTTAAGTCTAATCCGCAAAGGAAAAATCTGCTAAAGTCATTTTAAGAAAATCAAAGTATTTAGCACTTGCATTCATAAGCATTTAAGATTATGTCTAACGGGAGGGGTCCTAGTATCTAACAAAGGCCAATCTGAGGAGAGAGTTAGGTATCTAAAATACACAAATTATGACTAAAACAATCTATAACTATTTTTCTGTCCCAAACAAGTCTTCTTTGTACCATTACGCTACTTGCTCCAAAGTGGCTGTTTCAAAATCAAAGCTGCGTTTTTTAACACGCTCGTCAACCCCCGAACAAGCGTCGAATTTATACAGATTTTTCAATCGTCTGTTATCGGAGCGTGCGAACTGGAACAAACTTTGTGAGAATACCGATATCAACACAGAAACTTTGTCCATTCTTGTGGTTATTTATAGGCACGTGCTCCCATGCATAGCGCGGCGACAAGGATTTTTCAAACTAGTACGGAATTAGGGGTAGGTCGGAATTAGGACACCCCCCCCCGTTAAGCTATCAAAGTACCCTGCTGGGTTTCTGCTGACAGGTGCATTCAGTAATTAAACTAATTATTTTATGATAAGAATGATGCTCCTGGGGTCAATTCTTAAAAGTCACTCGTAGCTCTAAACATCTTAAACTCACCTGTACAAAGTTAGGTTAAAGTCAAATTCCAGTTGGCACATAATTTGTAACTTTATTTTACACATATTTGTTTGTTATGGCTGTTAGGAGGTTAACCTTGTTAAACGATATGGGAGCTGTTCCCTTGTTCTAGGCTATACAGAAGTTTTTCTATGTTATACCGTGATGATCCTGGGCTCGAAGTCCTCGTCGTTGTAGTTCTGTAGTTCGGGAGACTCCTGTACAGAGTTGGGTTTCCTCAGTCTGGCCACCTGGTCTACAGAACCCTCAGACGTGCACCCTTCCTCCAGCAGAGGCAGGCACACCAAACACAGCGTAAAACCCAGCGATAAACCCACGATCAGGGGCATGAAGGGCCGCAAATACAGCATAGACGGCTGCCGACGCATCTTAGGTTCACTCAACAGCCGTCTGTAAGAAAATTTCAAGCGTTTAAGGCGGAAATAACGCGTCCAGACGGAGAAAATATTTTGAGAAGTCTCGTCTCTCACCACTTAAAGTTACCCAGAAGGCAGCGCGACGGGTCAGAGGTCACACGTCAGGATGGCAGCAAACGAAGAGGTGGGAAAATTTTTTCTTCAAAATTTGTTCAAACTTTTGACGATTTTATGACTTTTTGTATTCACCATTCTGCATTTGATGTTTATATATGGATGTATAATATCCTTATACGTTACAATCTGGGCAAAATACGCAGTAGAAGAGTGGTTTTATAGAGTTTTAGGGCGATTCTGTTATCATGCCGTTGTGCAAGTCATCAGCCCCCCTCCCCACTTCACATGGAAATGGACGTGAAAAACAGCAGAAAAGTCGTGAAAATTTAGTTTTCTCTAAAAGCATGAAACTGCAGTGTATGTGCTTTGTCAAACTTGTCTAAACATTTTTTCAACTTTTGGATATTTCATAACAATATTTCATTTTGTCAATGTTTCAGATGGAGGTTGATCAAGATAACAAGAAGGAGGGAATCCAGCTGTACTTCCAGAACAAAATAGAAGGATTGGAGGTAAGTACTTAAAGATTAGAGTATTTTCTAAAGGTGAATCATTCATTTGAGCCTTTAAAACGTCATGTTACATGTTTACAAGAGGTTTGTTGAGGCTATATGATAGAGTCTAAACTGATCAGCTGACTCTGATGTTGCTTTTTTTCCTTCTCCAGTTGGAAGTTGCAGAGAGGACACAAAACCTGAGACGTTTAGAAGCACAGAGAAATGAACTCAATGCCAAAGGTACAGAGATACACACTTCATAGGATCTTCACAGTGATACTAGAACATATGTTCAAACTTGTGTAAGAGATCTATGTACGTAGTGGGATGAAGTACTAGTAGTTGTACATGGAAAATGTTGGTCTGTGTGTCTGTGGTTGGGTGAAGAATGTTTTAGTGGTATTAATCCGTCTATGTGTATACACCAGTGCTCCCCCTCTCCCCAAAATCCTAGTACCTCTCCCAAAATGTTCAAATTTAGGGCTTTCTCCTAGAGTTTTCATGAAAATTTGCTGATTCTACTGCACAGTGGTCTCCCCGGAAGTTTTTAGGGGGAGGTGGTCCCTAATCCGATCCTGGGGATTCGATTGATGTTGCGAAAAGAAAAAAATCAGGGGATATTCATGAAAATACTAAGAGAAAACCCTAACTATTGTATAACACAATAATATGTATGTATAACATATATGATATACCTGACCCCCTGCAGTGCGTATGCTGCGTGAAGAGCTGCAGTTGCTGCAGGAACAGGGCTCGTATGTCGGCGAGGTCGTCAAACCCATGGACAAGAAAAAAGTGCTCGTCAAGGTGAGGAAGGAGAAACTGTGGCTGTACCCAAAGGAAAAGCATACAATTATAGTTTTAATCAGTGTGCAAGCACCTCAAACCTTCGGAAATGGGAAGCAACAGACATTAAACCAGTGAGTGTGCTTACCACACAGGGCTGGAAATACTGGGTGCATGTGCATTTTACTTCACCCAAAATTGGAGCTGTGCACCCAATTTTTTTTTGTGGGTGCACCAGTGTACCATATCAAATGTATAATAGAATGCAGGATATTCTTGGCATCTAAGTATCAAAGAAATAATAAAATCAGTAAAGTAGTACTTTTTAAAGATTTTGAAGATTTAAAGATTTCAGATTCAAGCTCAGAAGAGCAGTAAGATCTGTGAATAGGTTTTGTTTTATATGGTGCACTCTGAAATTTTTTGTGCACCTGATTTTTTTGGTTAGGTCCACCAGTGCACCTAACTATTCCCATAAACGAATTCGGAGCCCTGCCACATGTAAAGTCACTGAAGCTCTTTTATTCTTCCAGGTTCACCCAGAAGGGAAGTTTGTAGTAGATGTGGACAAGGCCATTGATATCAACGACGTCACGCCCAACTGCCGCGTCGCCCTGAGAAACGACAGCTACACACTACACAAGATCCTGCCTAATAAGGTCAGTGTGCCCTAATAAGGGCAGTTGGGTCACTGTGGTTTCATTCTCATTGCCCAAATAAGGGAAGCTGGGTCAATTTTGTGTCCATTCCTCTGAAAAATTTTGTTTGTGTGTTGATGATTGAAGCTGTAACAAAGATATGTTTTGTACAAATTCATACATGTTTGTGCCTATTTTCCAAAATATGTGTGTATGAAAAGGTATCTGTATGTTTGTTTGTTTGTTTGCTTCTAGGTGGACCCCTTAATTAGCCTGATGATGGTGGAGAAGGTTCCAGTTGTTTATTTATTTATTTGTTTGTTTATTGACAGGTTGACCCCCTAGTAAGTCTGATGATGGTGGAGAAAGTTCCGGACTCCACCTACGAGATGATTGGCGGTTTGGACAAACAGATCAAGGAGATCAAAGAGGTCATTGAACTTCCGGTCAAACACCCCGAACTGTTCGAGGCCCTGGGAATCGCTCAGCCAAAGGTAGCCTGTTTTTTCATACCTAGAGCTATTTTGTCTGTGATCTTGTATTCTGTCTGATCTATCTAATCGTAAAAGTAATCTGAACAAGAAAGGCCTCTGTATTTAACCATCCATGGTGCTGTTTTTGCAGGGTGTACTGTTGTACGGCCCCCCTAGTACAGGGAAGACCCTGCTAGCCCGCGCTGTTGCCCATCACACAGACTGTACCTTCATCCGTTGTTGTTGTTTATACAGGGTGTACTGTTGTACGGCCCCCCTGGTACAGGGAAGACCCTGCTAGCCCGCGCTGTTGCCCATCACACAGACTGTACCTTTATCCGTGTGTCTGGGTCTGAACTGGTGCAGAAGTTCATCGGGGAAGGCTCCAGGATGGTTCGCGAACTCTTTGTCATGGCTAGGTAAAACTTCATTTTACAATTATTTTTTTTTTTTATTTTAGTGGCAAAGCAGTAAAGTTATTGGCAATCCAACCTTTGCAACAAAGTGAACACAGTAATTTTTCTCATAGACACAAGCATGGGGAATCCTGTCTGTAGTGACCACCTGTCCACATACAGTTGTCTTCTTGGACAGTTTGGTTTTGGAACTCTGGGTTAGCATGTTCTAAATAGGTTTTGTTGCTTCACGAATACTGTGGAAAGACAATGTTTTGTGGTACTGTGGGTGTTGTATGCCAAGCTTGCCTTTTGAGTACATGTAGTTTTGTTGAGTTCTATTTTAACCTCTGTGTTTCTAAAGATTTTTTTTCTCCCCTGTTCCAGAGAGCACGCTCCCTCCATCATCTTCATGGATGAAATTGACTCCATCGGATCCTCCAGACTGGAAGGGGGGTCTGGAGGTAAGTTATCGTTATGTTGTTGTATTTTTTTCAGTCTGTCAACAGCTATAGTTGTAGCTCGGAAAAATCACGTCTGGGACTGCTGGCATTCAAACCGTCTGGTTATGATGTCAAATAATGATTTTTTTTAGCATTGCGGAGCAAAAATCCAGATGGTACCCAGGCTACTATAGTTGTAGAGGTGTGAGGTGTATTTGAACTGTGTGTGGTAATTTGTAAATCTTTCAGTATGTAAAATGACCAGTGTCTAGTGTGCCGATACAAGAAAGTTTTTGCAAATACTTAGCTTTGCATGCATTTCCAGTAGAATGCAGTAATGTGCTTTGTCCTTATGTTTGTTTTATTGTGTTTAGGTGACAGTGAGGTACAGAGGACCATGTTAGAACTGTTCAATCACCTGTGTTCTGTGTCTGATTGTGTTTAGGTGACAGTGAGGTACAGAGGACCATGTTAGAACTGTTGAACCAGCTGGACGGGTTTGAGGCTCATCAGAACATCAAGGTAACGTAAAAAACATAATTTTTTTTACTGAATAAGACCGAATGTAATTTGCTTTCTGCTACTTAGCTGAGCCACACATGCTGCATTATTAATAAAAAGTGTGTCCAGAAAAATTGGAGGGAAAATTTTACTCATCCTGCGTGACTGTTGTTTGCTCCAGGTTGTCATGGCGACCAACCGGATCGACATCCTGGACTCGGCGCTGCTCCGTCCCGGCCGCATCGACAGGAAGATCGAGTTTCCCGCTCCCAACGAGGACGTGAGTTAACATGTTTCTAGCATCTGCACAGACAGTATGGCTTTGAAGTAAAGCCATATTGGTTTGATTATATGGGTGCCATCCTCTGGGAACCCCAAAATTGATGTGTGTGAATAAAAAAAATGTTTGGCAAAAAAAGTTGCCTTCATTATGAAATTTACATGGTCATGACGGTTGAACTATTGGCCTAACATGACTAACAAGTCTGGGGTCCAATTCCAAATCATTGCAAAACATTGTTTTTAATGGGAGGAAAAGTAGTGACGCAGGTAAAACTTGTTGGGTGCAGTTAATTTTGTCATCTACATCTATCTATCTGTATAGCCGGTATAACCACCTTTCAGCACAACACACCAGCTAACACACCTGTGCAGACACAAAAGAAAATACAAACCTCTGTATAATATAGGATTTGATTTTTGTATGTACATGTACTGTATTTAAGTTTTGTTCCTGCACTGTCTAACTATGGGCCAGTGAGAGCCTAAAACAAATAGATAAGGACTTGTTGTGTTGTTCCTCCTCAGGCTCGTGCCGACATTTTAAAGATCCACTCCCGTAAGATGAACTTGACTCTTGTTGTGTTGTTCCTCCCCAGGCGCGTGCCGACATCTTGAAGATCCACTCCCGTAAGATGAACTTGACTCGAGGAATCAACCTGAGGAAGATCGCTGAGACCATGCCTGGAGCCTCCGGGGCAGAGGTCAAGGTCAGGGTCAGGTTTTACTGGGTCATACCTGATGTGATGTAGGGGTAACCTGTGGGGTCATGTGGCATAACTGCAGAGCATTCGGCTCAGAACCAAGAGGTCCTCTGTTCGAATCCTGCCATGTCACCAACCTTGTGCCCTTTGGAAAGGCACTTTATACGACTTTCCTCAGGTGAAAATGAGTATGCCAGAATGATCATTTAATATCATGATCGTGGGCATTAACAGAAAAACCAAACCAAAACCTCCAAGCAGATGTTTTGGTGGCCGTAAAAAACAGTATCAAATTGGCTAGACAGTATCCATTGGCTACCTGATATCAGTGGCTAATGGACACTCCTCTGGGCTCTGGATACTGCCTTGCCACTGTATGATCTGCTTGGAGATTAATGTAGGCTAGCATTGAATGGCTGAGTTGGTATGCTAGCAGACACAAGACCAGACCAATATTCCTGGCTAGACGTTGTGTCCTTGTGAAAGGCACTGCACACAACTTTCCTCACTCAGTAGACTGATCCAGTGTTGATGTCACACTTGAAAGAAGTGACAAGCCTCACTGGGTCAGTCTACTGAGGAAGACCAGTGACTGGTCGAAAGCTCTAGGTGAGAGATTTTTTTGTGTTGAATCTTAAGTTTTAACTTTAAACAACCTTGCTGTTGTTATCCTGTTTTTACCCTTTACTGATGCTGTTTGTGTGCTATTTTACAGGGAGTGTGCACAGAGGCAGGAATGTACGCACTACGGGAAAGACGAGTTCATGTGACCCAGGAAGACTTTGAAATGGCCGTAGCAAAGGTACGTTAAAGCTGGAAAGTTTGTGTCAGTAGAAGTCATCCTAAATCAGAGTTGAACTGTATTGTCAAGCACAAGCCCAAATTTTCAACTGATCAACTTGTCAAAGACTAGAGTTCGGGGTAAAAAGTTTTTTCTTGTGTTGGCAATCACAGTTCAACTTTGATTCCGAAAGGTATGCTATACAAGTATACGTGTATTTGCATTTATATTCATGAATACATTTTGCTAAAAATACCTGCAACTTGGTGGTATCCTTTTCCCTCGTCTCATAAGTCATATTTAGCCATGTGAAAAGATCTCTAGTAAAATTGCTACCTTTGGGGTTTAGAAGAATGATGGTTCATTCTCAATTCATCCTCTGATATTCTGTCCATGGAGCCAGTTTATTTTCTTAGCATGAAGCTATACCTGCTACTACGGTCATGTGTCTCTGACGCGTCACGTTCAGAGTTGACGGAAACAAGGTTGAAGGAGTCAGCCGAAAATGCATTTGGGGTAAATCCCAAGTCATATATTAGTGTTGGCAGAGAAAGTTGTGTCTTTATTTATAGTTTATTTTCTTGTGTTTCTCACAGGTGATGCAGAAGGACTCCGAGAAGAACATGTCCATCAAGAAGCTGTGGAAGTAATGCTGGTGCATTCTGGGATAGCTTCCTGCCCCTGGGACTTGTGGGATATCGTCACACATTGTTCTGAATAAACACCAAGAGGAGACAGTAAAGCATACAAAATCACCTTGTATATTTTGACAGTAATTATTAATCTCTAAATGTAGAATAAATATGAGTACAGTAAGATTGTCCAATGTGAACAAACATGGATGACATGTACGTTTCTTGAAGATTTGTCACCTAAAAATACCCTGGATTGTCCTAGATTCCTCATGTGGACTCAGTATGTAGTTACATTTGTATATGCTTCTTGTAACAAACAAGGACACACAATAAATGTGATAGTAAGCCGAGCAGTACAGAAGATTTGTGAGAGCACTTGTTGTTTTCATTCTGTCAATCAGTTTCCTCCATTTAAGTTCATATAAACTATATTAACTACTATCTACATTTGTAAACTTGAAATCGGTAGTATAATTTATGAGAACCATGCAAGTTATGACTTCACACAGAAGCGTACCATTTTATTTTCCTTACACAGACAGAACTGGGCTGATCATGTCGCCTCTACCAGGCTTTGGGAGGCAACTGTAAAGGGTAGAAGATGGCCAAATACTGAAATAGATGACATGCCAGGGGAGTTAGTCTGCTAGAGAGTACACTTCGGGTGCGGCAAAAAAATACTTTCTAGCAGCTCCCTTGGCATGTTTTCTGTCTATCTGTTCAATTTCTAATCTTTGCAGTAGCCTTCAAAAGCCTGGCTACCAGTGATACACACATCAGACTGTAGATAACTTGACGATCTTGACCTTCACCCTTGGCACAGTATGACTAGACAGATGTCCAGCCAGATCCTCCTGTAGACATTCATAACAGAAGCTGCACTCGTAGCCCTGCTCCGAAGGCGCAAAGAACGTCTGAACGGTTTCCCAGGACATCTGTAGTGTGATCTGGTCCTGACCTGCTGCTGATGGCTGGTAACTGTGACAGTACGTGGTCAGATCTTCCCAGCTGCTCCATACATTGTTGCACGGCGAGGCACACTTGAATCTTAGCCCTTCCTCTTTGAGTTGAGTCACATCAAGGAAAGAGAAGTCTGAGTTTGGAGCGTTGGTGATGTTCTGATCTTTTGGCTCAGTTTTTACAGTGTTAGAGCTGGGTTCAGTGCTCTTTTTGTGTCTGTTGCTTTCCTCTGACCTTACAAAGTCTGAGTTTGGAGCAAGTTGGGTGATGCTCTGGTCTTTTTGCTCAGTTTTCACAGTGTTAGAGCTGTTCTTTTTGTGTCTGTTGCTTTCTTCTGACTTGACAACTGTAGGTTTTGGATTGTCGTCCAAAGCAATCTGCTTCTTTTTGGGACTCGATTCTCTTTTGGGACTCTCTTTTCTTTTGGAACTCTCTTTTCTTACGAGACTCTGACAGAGACGATGCTGGGTTGGTTTGGAGCTAGTTGATCTGTCAGAGTTTGACACAGAAGTCTGACTCTGGTGGCCTTTTGGTGTCGCAGTCTGTGAAGACATCATACTACTGATGATATCATTGCCAGGCTTGGACTTGACTGTGGGTTTTGTGGTGACATTCAAGGATTGCAGACACCCGTTTGCTTTCGATGTGGAAGACTGCACACCCTTCTGATGAGGCAACCCAGCTGCAGTACCAGTAGAAGCTCCTTTTGGTTGATACCCAGAAAACTGACAAGCTGAACTTTTCCCTGTACCAGTGACAGCACCTTTCTGCAAGTACCCAACAAAAGTAGTTGCAGATGCTATAGAGGCACCTTTCTGCAACCCTACAGATTCAGTGGAAGCACCTTTTTGTTGGTCCCTAGCTGCAAACAAACATGTCCCTGCACCAGTAACAACAGTTTTCTTCGAGAGCCCTGCAATGGTAGTTGCAGATCTATTGTAAGCAGGTTTTGGGGTGTACCCAGAAAAGGTAGCTGTTGTCTCTAGGCCGGCTGCGGTGGATTTCTGAGTTTGCGCCGGTGTTGATGCACCTTTCTGGGGATACCGGGCAAACTGGTGTGCTGTTTTCTCTGCACTAGTAACTGCACTTTTCTTCAACGGCCCAGAAGTGGTAGTTGCAGATCTGTTGTAAGCAGGTTTTGGGGTGTACCCTGGAAATGAAGCTGTTGTCCCTGGACCAGTGGATTCCTCAGTTTGTACTGGTGTTGAGGCACCTTTTTTGGGATACCCAGCGAACTGTTGTGCCATTTTCCCTACACCAGTAACTGCACTTTTCTTCAAGAGCTCTGAGATTGTAGCTGCAGACTTACTATCAGAAGCAGATTTTTTAGTGTACCCAGGAAAGGAAGATGTTTTCCCTGGACCAGTGGATTCCTGAGTTTGTGCTGGTGTTGAGGCAGCTTTCTGGGGATACCCAGCAAACTGGTGCGCCGTCTTCCCGACAGTCACCACGTTCTTCCGGATGTATTTAGTGAAGCTGCCCATCACTGAGACGTGGTGCTGCCTCTGTGCATGCTCCAGGATAGAGGAGAAGTAGCGGTACTGGGAGGAGCAGATGGAGCACTCGTACACCTAAAGGGGGAGAGGTACTTGTTTTTAGTAGGATACAGGAGTTTTCTTTTACACAGCCAAGATCGTTTGCCTTGCTTACATTTCAATCTCTATCAGCCGCATTTAGAATTGTGTTCTCGCCGCAAAAGCGCCACCTATATCAGCTACAGACAGCAGCGAGAAGCAGAACTCCAGTCAAAAGCTCTGAGGAAGGTGTCTGATAGACACTGAAACGTAATATAAGCAAGGTAAACAATTTGGTTGTGTAAAAGAAAACTATATACTTTACCAACCTGATGAAACTATTTTCAGACTGTTTTTCAGTGTGCTGTAATACCCAGCAGAATGTCGAAATCTTGTTCTGCAATTCAGAAATACTTTATGCAATTCGAAAAATACAAGCAAAATTGCTTGTACATGTATATTATGGAGTCAGTATTAAACACAGAAGCTCTTAAACACCATTGAACCCCCGGCCTAGCCTGATTTTTTTTCACTGATTTCTGTCTGCAAAATTGCAGGTTGATTAATTTTTAAATCCTTCTGCAATATCAAAAATGTCTCTGCAATATACAGACTGCAGATGGGTACTAGTATTTCTAACACTGACCTGGTAGGAGCTGCGCAGGTTGGCTGTCATCCTGGAGGGCAGGCGGGACAACAGAGGTGCAGATCTCGTGCCAGCATCAACAGGAGGCACCCATGTACTACTACTAGTGCTAACTGTAACATCTCCTTCAACTGGAGCCATTGTCTGGACTTCCTGGGTATTCTGATCAGTGTGAGATGGTTCACTGTTGCTCACAGGTGTACATGTAGGTTGTCTAGTTTCTTGTCTTGTTTCTGGTGCCTTGGAATTGGACGTCGTGTTGGCGGCTAAAGCTGGAAAGTAGGAAGAAAGTCTCTTCTTGCTCGCCTTGTTACAAAACTCTTCCCGTTCCACCCGACGTTTTTTCCCGGTTGTTGCACTACTGCCTTCTCTTTCCAGCTCCAACAGACATCTTTTCCCCGTTGTCTCCATGCTGCCTTCTCTTTCTGGTTCCAACAAGCGTTTCTTCCCTGTTGTTGCACTACTGCCTTCTTTTTCCGGTTCCAACAGACGTTTTTGCCCTGTTGTTGCACTTCTGTCTCTCTCCTGGTAGCTTTTAGGCCCAGCAGCAGCGAGCTGACACCACTTACGGGTGAAGAAAAAAGACTCCACGCTTTCCGTTACCTGAGTGAGAGAGAGAGAGCGAGAGAGAGAGGGAGAGAAAGAGAGAATGGTTATTCACAAGCAAACTTTAATAGGTAAACAACTGTCACAAATAAGAAGTTATGTTTACTGTGATAAGTTTACATGTAGCTGAATTGAGTTGTGACTTAACATACGTACGTTAATTATAACAATAAAATTCTCGCAGATATACATGTAGTTGATAAAAATTGTATATTACAATGTATTAAATAAACCTCTTTTTAAAATGGCATTATAATAAAATCACACTTTAACGTTGTCATATTATTACACACATGTGAATGTATCAAGAGACTGATGTCATGTTTTTGGACCACTGTGGAGATCTTCATTCAGTAAAATTGTTTCACAAATTCTCGGGCTCTTTGTGAATCTTACAGTTCTAGCTTTCTGAGTGTTCAGCTGATGACTAGATCTGGTGAGTCTGCCTGTTACCTACTGGTGCACCCAACCTAAAAAATTGGGTGCACAAAATTTTCTGTGGGTGCACCATATAAGATAAAATAAGTAGAATGTCAGTGAAAACTAATTATGTTTCATTTCTAAAGAAAAGTACTACAGGAATGATTTTAATATTTTTCTGACACTAAGATGTTAAGAATATGCTGAATACTAGTACTTCTCTACATTTAATTTTAACATCTTGACATACGTAAGCCTACAAAAAATATTTGGGTGCATTGGTGCACCCGTACCCACAGAAAAAAAATTGGGTGCACTACCCAGTATTTCCAGCCCTGTTACCTGATGTTTCCACTGCAGGTGAAACTTCATGGCAGCGTAGCCTTTTATATTCATGTGTTCCTTGCACAGACAGCAGGTGTATAATTGCCTGGACTGTATATGTACAGGCTGAGCTCCTGATGCCTGCAAAGGATTGACACTGACAGCCCTCTCTACACCAGTACTGTATGTTAGAGGTTCCCTAGCAGCAGGCATTGGAACTGGTGTAACCTGCTTGGATAGTTTCTGGATGGCAGCAGGTCTGGCATGTGTGCTGGAGTTTTGTTTCACGTGTTCCTTGCTCTGACTGCAAGTGTTTAATGGCCCACCTACATGTACACTGACATCCCTCTCTTTACCACTACTGTACTTTAGAGGCTCTCTAACAGGAGGCATTGGAACAGGCGTAACCGGCTTTGATAGTTTTTGGATGGCAGCAGGTCTGGCATGTGTGGTGGAGTTTTGTTTCATGTGTTCCTTGCTCTGACTGCAAGTGTTTGATGGCCTTCCTACATGTATAGGCTCTGGTCCTGATGCCTGTGGAGGGTTGACAATGACAGTTCTTTCTCTATCAGAAATGCGTTGAGGTGCTGATGGAATGTAACTTAGATATTCTCTAACAGGAGGCATTGTAGCAGGCCTGGGATGAGTGGTAGAGTTTTGTCTCATGTTGGGAGGACCTGTCTGCCCACTTGTGTTGTGAGAAGTTTGCTCTGATGCTCTCTCTGCATCAGAAATGTGGTGTAGAGTTGTGGGGATGGATGACACACGAGGGGGAACATGGGAGGTGCTTGTTTGCAGAGTTACACTGTCAGGAGTCTGCTCTCTTGTCCCAACAGTCCCGGGCCTCCCACAGACGTTTTCACAGATGAGCTGAGCTCTGAGGAAGGAGGACCCAGTGAGTGCAGTGATTTGGTGACTCTGGAGATGTGAGGTGATGTCAGAATGCAGGGTACTGCCGATGTCTGCTTGGCACAGGTTACAGAAGAATTTCATCTCTACTTGGTGTTTCGCTGGTGTTGTGTTGTCCATAGATTTCTTTGGTGGTATCAATGCTGTGCCAACCTTATTTGTGTCTGGTGGCTCCATTTTCACACAAGTTTTCTGAATGCCAGCATTTGAGGCATCTTTTTGTAGGCTCCTGTTTTCTGGAACATGTTCCCATGTGTCTGGTGGCTCTGTTTTCACACAGGCTTTCTGGTATTCCATCACAGTTCTTTCTTGTGGCATTGTCTGTGGTTGCATCAATGCTGTACTTGCAGCTCCATTTGAGGCACCTTCTTGTAATTGTAGGCTGGTGTTATCAGGAATATGTTCCACCGTTTCGGGTTGCTCTGTTTTGACATAGGCTTTCTGTGAGGTGCCTGTTTGTAGGTTTGTGTTCCAAGAAATTTGTTCCATTGTGTCAGGTGGCTCTGTTTTGACAGACACCTTCAGTTGATTTTCTGTGACAGCATTTTCTTCTGGCATTGTACATGTGTCCATGGATGTCTCTGTAGTTGGTGGCATGAATGTTGTGCTGGATCCATTTGAGGTATCTGTGTGTAGGCTTGCATTCCACTTAGGAATTTGTTCCATTGTGTCATCAGGTGGCTCTGTTTTGACAGACACCTTCAGTTGGCTGTCTGTGACAGCATTTTCCTCTGGCATTGTGTCCATAGATGTCTCTGGTGTGTCAGGTCTATTTGAGGTGCCTGTGTGTAGGTTTGTGTTCCAATGAATTTGTTCCAGTGTTTCGGGTGGCTCTGTTTTCACACAAACCTTCAGCTGATTTTCCACAACAACACTTTCTAGTGGTGTTGTATTGATGGATGTTGTCGATGGCATCAATGTTGTGCTACCAGTAGTTCTATTAGACGTGCTTGTTAGCTCACCTGTGTTGTCAGGATATTGTTCCACTGTGTTTAGCTCAGGAGCTTTCTGGTGATCTGCTTCAGGACGTTTGAAGGAGCACTTTCCTTGGTGCTTGCTGTTTGTTGTTTCTGAGGGGCTTGTGTTGCCAGGAGTCTGTTGTGTGTCACCTCTGTTTGTTCTTACTAAAGGTGGCATTTCAGAAGGGCCTTGTACATCTACTCTGCTGTCTGTTGTTTCTAAAGGTGGCAGATCTGAGGGCCTTGTATTATCAGTAGGCTGTTGCGCATCTACTACCTTTGCTGTTTCCAAAGATGGCACACCTGAGGGGCTTGTAGGCTGTTGTGTGTGATGTCTTTTTGTTATTTCCAAAGGTGGCATTTTTAGGGAGCTTGTGTTGTTAGTAGACTGTTGTGAACAACCATCTATGTTTGCTGTTTCGTCCTCAGCTATAGGCTGTTGTACTCTACTGTCAGTTGTTTCTAAAGATGGCACATCTGAGGAGCTTGTGTTGTTAAGTTTTTGTGAGTCTTCAACATTTGCTGTTTCATCCACGACGGTACAGCATCTCTCGAAGTGCTGTGACACGTGGTGCTTGTCCCGAAGGTGTGCCCTCATGAAGGTGAAGGATTTGATGTTCCGACTCCGTTTGCAAAGGCTGCACTTGTACCTCACTCTGCCCTGCTTTCCATCGTTTGTCCCAGACTTTCCTGCTGATAGAAGAAGAACTTTGTTGCACGACAATTGCACATGGTACAATGTATGGCAAACTACATAAAGAGAGTAACAACAATAAAATAAGTGTGCTGAATAAGAACTAATGTCGAATAAAACCTAACATATCTATATCATAATTATTCAAATAATAAGGGATAGCACAATTCTTGGATAAAGTGTTACAATCGAGTGGGCTAATCAAAAGTTTCAGTATTTTTTCTAATAGCAAAGCATTCCTTTATAATATATCTACCTATTTTTGCATTGTGGGGACCATTACATGCTGATATGAGATCAGATACGAGGTGCTTACCTGTGATGTTAGCCCTGTCTTTATAATGGCGTACTTGTTTCTGGACTAACAGAGCCCTATGCTGCAGTGTTATGTGAGTGATGATACCAGTCAGGGTATAGCTATATTCTGCGCAGTGCTTGCAGTTGTACTGCCGACTTCTTCGCTCGAGGACAGGGTTATAACGAATAAGGGGATTGTACTGTTCCTCCACAAAATCCTCCATGTTCAGACCGGTCTGCTCTAGAACTGTCTCCACCAGCGTTTTGGGACAGGACGCGTCACCTTTCTCTGTCCCCGAGTCTGCTGCCTTTTCAAGCAAAAGCCTGGCTACAGTACTGGACATCTTCTTCGTCTTACTACCTGTTCTTTCAGCTGTCCTGCCAGCCACACCTGAAGATACTCCTTTACTAGTACTTCTCCCACTCTGTCCATCCTTGTGAGATATAACTTTACTTCGCCCACCCTGTCCATCCTTGTTTGGTGTTGTTGTGTGTGGTGGTACAGAGTTCTCTCCACAGATCTCTCGCTGCATGTACAGCAAGTCGTTCAGCTCAGTGTATCTGGTGTTTAGTCCCCTAATAACCTTTCTTCCGCTGCTGTATACATACCGGTATAAACGTTCATCACCGCCCTCTGCTAGCAAATCTGAATCAACGGACATTTCTCCACTCTCATCTTTTTCTTCCTCTGATGTACTCATAGCTTCTTCCTCTGATGTTATGCTGCTGTTTGTATCATTTTCAGAGTCTGAGCCTTCCTCTTCTTTATCGTTGACTGGTTGGTTTGAGATTTCTTCTGTCATTGTGACGTGAAACAACAAGTTGACTTGGTCCTGTGGGTCAGGCTGGCTTTCAACAGAGGCTTCCGTAGCATTCTTGTCTGCCATGGTTAAAGCAAGCTTAAGGACATAACCTCCACTACTGTCTGGAGAAGAATTTGTCTCCTCTTGTAATGTTACTACTTCTTGTTGTTTTCTTTTTACTGGTCTTTTTACTTTGTGCTTGCCTTTAGTAGCGGACACACCATTCTTGTCTGTAGTGTATAATTCTGAAGCATCAGCTTTACTAGTAGTACCTTTGTCTGAAACTGATTTGGTCTTTTCTTGCTGTTCTTTATCTGGTTCTGTCTTTACTTTCTGCTGGTCTTCATGAGAAGCTGATGTCACATTCCTGAGTGTTCTGAGTAATTTGGAGTAATTCCTGCGTGTTTTGTGGGCGTGATGACTTCCGGTGTTGTTGTCTGGAACAGAGCTTGTGTCTTGCACCTCCTCTTCTGGTTCTTTCTTTCTTTTCTGCTGCAATGATGCCATCTTTATGCTAGCACCTAACACAAGCACGAGAGAACCATTGAAGTTGTGGGGAAAACTCTTGTCCTCCTTGGGTTGATGTTCAGTACTGGTTGTAGTTGTCTTGTGGTGACTTCAGGACGGGTGCCTGGATAAAGGGATATCAGCAATATTATCACATAATTTGTTTTATATCATGGAGTTAAAAGATCAGATTTGTGTACCTCCATACTTCATATATCAATTACGTACATAAGTCATCAAGAGAGCATGACTCTATCAACACTAAGCCTTGATAACTTTTCAAAAGACTGAGTTAAATGCATGAAAGATAATGACATTTTAATTGATTTATAAAAAAATAGATGGTTTCCCTTGCAGACACACATAAATTATTGCCCCCCTCCCCCATATAGCTCCAAGGCGCTTATAGCAAGAAAACAAGGGTCTTAAGTTACCTTATGCATAGAATAAATAGTCCTTGGCTTTGTATCTGAATCCTTACTGTACTTAATGCGAAAATTGTGGGTACGAAACGTCAATAATAATGCTTTATAATAGTTGTCAAATTTTCGCAGTCTTCCTTTCTACCGCAATGCATTGTGGGAGAAAATGTTGACCTGCCCACAATGGTCTATTCCAATAAATAAATATAGGGGTGTTGAAGCAGAAAGAATTGGATGGGGACAGTATTTATGCAAATCTGGATCAAAATATGGGCAATGATATTTACATCCTTTATAGATATACTGAAAAATATTTGCATATCTTCATTTGACTAGATTAGACAGTCCGTAGGATACAAAATCCGATCTCAAGTATATACATCCCCCTTCACAGTAATTTTTGGAACAGCCCAATTCTCCGCCATCATTCGGAAGCAACAAAAACTCGCGAGACTTCGATTGAAAACAGAAGCGTTATTTTGCTGTTTATATAGCAAAGCTATGGCGAATTCGGACGTCCAGGGGCTGGTGGCTCGTCTGACCAACCAGGCGTCAGAAAACCAGGCCCGGGTGGGCTGTGCGAAGTGCGGGTACACGGGGCATCTCACGTTCGAGTGCCGCAACTTTCTACGGGCAAACCCCACGCAGGTAGGGTGGGAGGGGGGCGGGCGTCAGATAGTTTTTGTACGTAATCTGCCATACTGCATACTTCATGGACTTTTCGTGGTGTAGATACGGGCAGGGGACAAGCAAAGTCCTGCTTTGTACTGTGCAGTCGATATAACCAACTCGACACACTAGGTTACCGTTAGGTAGGGTGGGAGGGGGGCTTAAGTTTGTTTTTGCTACACAGCCCCGTGAGTCTGTTTGCGTGAGTTTTTGCCAGAATTTACATCAAATTATAAGAGAAGCAAGTAATATATTTGTGTGACCTTAAGAAATGAAAAAAAAATCGATTGACAAATTTTCTGTGTTGCCTTCACAACAGTAACTGAGTAAGTACAGTTGGGGAACATCACAATGTTAAGAGTTTGGTGTTCAAAGGCTATGTTTAACAAGTCGTTCGGTGTGATAAAGCTAGTTGCTGCCGAGCCTGGCTGCAAAGCTGTTGTGTTATGCCAGTGTGATGTGTTATACCAGCTATACAGATACAGATAACTATGATGATGATGATGAAAGATTGATGATGTGTTTTGATTGACAGAGTTTCTCTGTTTTCCCCTGGTCCCCAGGACATAGTGCTTGACATCAGCAGCACCAGTAGTGAAGACAGTGAAGAGGAACTCGGCTCGGAGGCTCTTGCCAAACGCATGCAGGCGAAAAAGGACGCCGAACCCAAACCCAGCGGCGACAAGAAGAAAAAACACAAGAAACACAAGAAGAAATCCTCCAAGAGCAAGAAGAGGAGGAAAGAGTCCAGCTCTGAGTCTGATTCGGAAGCAGAAGAAAGGAGTAAGAAGAGGAAGAAATCTTCAAAGAAGTCGAAGAAGAAACACAAAAAGAGGAGGCACTCCAGTTCATCTGACTAGTCAGATGTTTAATTTTAGTGAAACATTAGCCCTACATACAGTGGTCATTGACAATGTTGGAAACTTCTGCACCAGTTTATCACAGCAGACAGATGTTTTGGAATCCTTCAACAGATCCACAGTTTTTGGTACCTTGTTAAGCTATGGTATCATTCAGAGGGGAGCTTTTTGCTGTACATGGGACCATTCATTGTAAATGAAGAATGGGAAATCTGTAAGCAATAGCACTCAAGTCAACTTTTTATATGTGGCACGTGTACATGTACCTTGTAAGCTAGCAATCCAGAGGAGAGCTTTTTACTGTATGGGACCAAGGACATTATTGTAAGAGGCAATCTATCAATGTCATGTCATATAGTTTTATAACTGCAACTTGTCACTTAAGGCTGTCTTATGTTGATATGTTGTCACATTTTTTGTGCCTTGTTCATGTAGCTAAAAACCTAAATGTTTACTATGACTGTAACAAATATGTGGTATTCTGTATCTGTGCTGGTTATAATTTTCCTTTAGTAATAAAGGTACCGGGTATTTTAGTATTTTCTCACTGGTCATCATCTACGTATTTACTACATACAAAATTTATAGGCAGCAAGCAGAACAAACACACAGACCAGTACAAAATCAGACAGTAGCTTTAATAAGAACACAGACACCTTTTCTCTTCTCTTGGTACAAAACCTGGCACAGCTGCTTTAGAGAAATCATGCTAAACTCTATCAACCAAACTTAAAATATCTCAACCCTGGCTAAGGACGTTAACCATCTACTAGAAGCTATCCAGACCTCAAACTAAGAAATTAAAATAAACGAAGGCACATCACTTCACTGAGATTCTAGTTAAAAAGAATCAAAATGACACTTGTACCTTAATTTTCTTCTCATGTACACATACATGTACCTACTTGTTCTACATGACTATTACATGTAGTATCTACCTGTTTCAAAACCAAAAAGAAACAAATACAGGTACATGTAGTTGGAATTGCTACAGTGTACCATTCACTGTTATTCATAGACTAGTGGCCACATCCACTAGCTACATTTCCATATCTGTTACATTTCCGTAACTGTAACATTTTGTGACAGAGAAGCTTCCTTCCTTAACAAATAGAAACTTAGTAGCAACATTCTATGTTACAAGAATGTTCTGCCATATAACTTATACATACACAAGGTCATACAAAATCTCTGCATTGTAACATAATCAGAGATCAATGCATAGAACTTTCTGCTAGAAAGAAAGTAAGGAAACTAAACTACAAACCTAACAGTTACTGTAGTAACAATTCAGCATCAGAATAGCAAAATCCTTCAGAATGGCAGCATTGTTGCATTTACTGTGTTGATCTAGAATGTATCTCAGCAATTTACACGGAATCCAACCAGTTAAGACTGATTTAACCCTCTAACAACCAACACTTGTGCTGTAACTTCAGTAATAAGTACAGAGTGGGTTATACAGGAGGGCCCTGGCAAAAATGAGGTTAACCCATTAAGTCCTGATGTGAAGAGAAATCATTCTCATGGCTCAAGTTGTTCCTTAAAATCTCCAAGCAGATCATACAGTGGCAAGGCAGTATCCATTGGTCAGAGGAGTGTACATTAGCACTGTATACATATGATTGCTTAGAGATATAGATCCTTATTCTACATCAAACATTTCTCAAATTGTGTCCCAGAACAGGTATGCATCCAACCTAACTACATCTGTTTATAAGAAAAACCCCAAGACCCATGTTTAACTTTACAAGAAGTTGTCTAGAAGCACATGACAGAGCCATTTCTTTATCAAATACATGTATTTCCTACATTGTGTCCCAGAACAGGTAAGTATCCAGCCTAGCTACATCTGTTAAAGCAACCTCTCAGGATCCATGTTTTACCTTCCTGCCTCTGTATTTACAAGGAGTTGTCTGGATGTACATGACGGATACAAACCTCTGCCCAGCTTGATGTGGTCTCACTACTCTTCTTCTCTGTACTGCCCCTTCCCTGTTCACAACAACTTCTCCTCCCTTCCCTTCCTCTAGCCTCTCTACTGTTCTCTGTGACTCTGTTTCTTCCTCTTCAATTTTTTGAAGGTTGGTACACCTCACCGCGGAACAGTCGTCAGTTCTACCGTCGTTTGACACAATATTCCGCGTCTGACCCCGCGTGATGTCCACGCGACCCCACGGGTATCTCATGACGACGCTCCCTCCTCCCGACTGTCTTGTTTCTTTCGTAAATCGAGTAACATTTGACGCTGCTTTTCTCACAAACCTGTACGAAACTCCTCCACTTCTCTTCGATCCGCTCTCTTCTCTTGTCTGCTGAGAATTCTGTTTCACGATTCTCACACTCTGCCTAGGCTGGATTAACACTGTCCTCTGTACTTCAGACTCCTCCTTGTTACTTCTACTCGTTGCTACACTGCTTGTACTGCTATCTGTACTGGGACTGACTATTCTGATCTGCCGTTTGGGTGTGATGATGGAGATGTGCTGGTTGGGGCTGACTATTCTAACCTGCCGGCTACGAACGTTGGCCACCGCCCGGCTTCCTGCCGTGATCCCGATGTGGAAAAAGTTGGTCCTTCTTGAACTTGAACTTGTCGTTGAACTTGAAGTTGTCGATGTCTTTATTTTCGCGTTTTTCTGTCCATGGCCACACTGTTGGTGGTTGTCGTCATGGGAACTAGATATCTCGCTACTAATGTGTTTGGTGCAGTGATGATGTGGCCAGGTGGAAACTTGGTTGCTATGGTGATGGTTGTCTTGGCGATGGTCGCTATGGTGATGGTCGTCCTGGTGATGGTTGCTATGGTGATGGTTGTCGTGGCGATGGCTGTTGCTATGGCGACCGGGGTGGGGGCAGCGGGGGTTCCCGTCCTCAGTCGCTCTTTGGGATGGCGTATTTTTCTTTTCCCTTCTCGTTGACGACACAAACGTGCTGGAAAACAACAAACAAATAAAATAAATAAACAATAAACATGACTTCAGTATCAAAGAAATGTAGCAAGATTTTACAATAGCCTGCTACTAGTAGGTTACAATAGGCCTCTTACTGTCAAAGGCTGATTGGGCCTCCTCACTGAAAACTTGTGGCCTCTAACTTGAGAGAACCCTTCCCAGAACTAACTACCAATAGGAGACTTTTTTACTGTCAAAATCAGTCCAATAGGAGCTCAGGAAACTTTATCACTACAGAAACCAGTCATCACAGCCTCCAACACTATGGTAACAGACAGTTCTCAGTCTGACAATCATTGCACTTGAAGAAAAGTCCAGTTTCTGCTGCTGTGTTCAGTGCCAAGAGGTCAGTAGCCTTGGTGCTGAAAGGAAGTTGTCCAGTATTTTGGTCAGGAGCTTTATTTAGCTGACCCCATGACAATGTCTATTAGCAGTGGTTACATGGCCATGTACATTGTAAATCACAACAGACTCCTAAAGGCAGACACTAAAAATCTCCTTTTCAGGGTTCATGACATATGCTGGCAAACTACAAAAGGTACTACCGGAATACCTTGTACCTAAATGTGTACTGTAATATAAATGAAATTCACTACAAAAATCATAAATCGCAGTGTTCTTGAACACTTTGTTTAATGTTGCATTCAAATACATACATATACTTATTATTTCAACTTCACATCATTTAGAGTTGGGTACCTAAAAGCTAGAATATCTCAGGAAAACATGTTGCTTATAAATTTATATCTAGTTCATAGAGCTAAAACTCCAAATGTCAACTATGTTCTCTCTCAATAGGGTGGGGCTGTGCGGACTGTACCATTTTATCTGAGGTGAAGGCTTACAAGCTTGGTAGCTAATTTTGGCAGCACTGTGCAAACGTCCTGCTATTTTTACGTGATGTCTGTTTGTCCACCGACTCAAGTAGCACTCGCATGTACGTCAGAGAACTCTTTTGGCGCCTTCTGAGGGTGATTTTATTTCACTGGCGTATTCTGTGAATGTGTCATCTGGCAACTACAGCGGATGGACCAAAAATAAGGGTGAACAATCGTGAGTCAAGTCAGTATAGAAAACACACCCATAGCTTTAGGTTTCAGAAGCTTACACACTCAATGGTTCACTTTTTATCTAAAGGTCCAAGATTTTTCCTTAAATGGCGGACTGATTTGTATCAACAATGGGACTGAAATCCTATATGTTTCTGATTTGTCCTTTGAAATCGTCTCAAAAAATAAGGAAATGGCATTTCAGAAGGTTCAATTTTCTAAATTTTCTGGGGAGCATGCCCTCAGACCCCCCTAGGAACCTCGCGCCTATGGATATGGACAGTAGGAAGAACGGCCCAAGTAAAATCCCAGCTATAGACAAGAAATAGATTATGAAACTGTGTCAGTACAGAGTTAAACATTGTATGTTTGTTTGTAGGAGAGTTTTGTATGAGTGTTGTTTTCGCCTGGTAAGGTATATCATCATGGCAGTAGTCCAAGTTTACAAATACTTTCTGCTGGCATCTGGCCATAACATGCTGGAAGCCATAACAAACAACATGATGGACTTACATGTACATGTACATGTCTTTAAGCATTATACAGGGTATCCTAAAAGGCAGGTTTCAAATCTTACTTTTTAAAAAAGGAATGGCAGATTGCATCTCTGAGGATTACAGAAATAACTGACTTCATAAAACTTGGAACTCTATTATGTGACATTTTCTGTACTATGGAAATGTTCCAACTTCTCTAAAGTGTGCAGTGTTCCCTTATAATTGACTTTTTTTTTTTTTTTTTTTTTTTAATTGACTTTAGGCCTTCCCAGATGTCTAGCCAATTTTTTTTCTAGAACGGAAGTATTGGGAGTGCTAATGTTGACTATAGCCTGTGTGTTACACAATCTCTCGTCTAAGGGCCTGACCAGTGGAAGGGCTGCTAGAAGCGTGATGTAGTCAGTTTAATGTTGACTGTACTGTGGCATGTTTTTCAAGGGTTGGGGACATGGTCGGTGGGTGTAACACTGTCAGCACATATATAGTAACTCATGACCCACTTGTATGGAGAAGTATGAAAAACAGCTAGGAGTGGCAGCACTGCACTGGGTTCTTAGAAAGGCTGGGACAATTCAAACTCTTGGTTCTGGGGTTCTTATTCTTCAGAAATTTGGATTATAATTAGTTGCAAAATACTGAAAATGTAAGAGAATCTCAGGCTAAGACTATTCAAACACTTGGATTCTTCTCTTAAGAAATTTGGATTGTAAACATGTAATAAGTTGCACAAGCTTATCGGTATCGAAAACTGATTATTATATAAGCACTATTTCGTACAGTTGTGAGAAGTTATTCCAACAACATTGGCATAAGTGGTATTATGATTATGAAACAGAAATGTAGCTTGCATTGGTGATTTTCTTAACCTCCCCAGTGTTAACGAACAAAAAAGTAGCCTTGTTGCACCAAATTTGCATTGGTTACTGAGTTAGGCAGCAAGGAGAAGGTTCAACACAATAGACCTACAACAGCTGCTTACATTACAAAATGAGTTGTTTTCCATTGCATCATTGCTGCTACATCTACAGTAGATATATGTACATGTAGGATTCATTAAACTGATTTATCACTGAAAGGCTGAAACCACAGAACTCTTTTTGATGCTGCCCCGAGGTTCATATAATAAGATATTAGTAAGATTCATCAACCTACATCACTCCAAGAGGTTCAAAGTCATTATTACTTACATTGAGGTCCCTGAAGAATTCATTGTAGTCCAGGGCATAGCCGACCACAAACTTGTCTGGTACCTCAAAACCAATGTCTGAAAAACAACAGAAGAAAACAGTTTAAAGTCTGAAGAGTTCTCAGTTTAATATTTTGGCTGTGACATGTCTTGTATTGCAGACCTCTTTGTATCACTCTTCCAGCTTTTCTGAAGAACTCTCAGTCACACAGGCTGGAAATATGGTACACTTGTTACACATTTCAATCAATCTAATTCCATGGAGTTTGTTTCTTTCAGGGAAAACTTCAGGACACTAAATGTGTCTGAATCTTTTCATCCATCTAATTAATTCATGTCTCTTTGAAACTCTCCACCACACATGCTGGAAATATGGTAGACTCATAAGGAAACCAAATGACTTCTTTCAAGTTTCTTTCAAATATAATTCCCAGACACTAGTTTCAAACATGTCTGAGTCTTCTGCTCCATGTAATGTCTTTCCCATACATGTATTTCACCATCCTGACACCAGCTTACATTCTTACTCACTTCCTGTCATCGTGTGTAAAAGCGGTGTATGTATGACGTACATGACTGGTATCATTACACATACCAGCAAATACGTGCCAATATCCTAACCTCCGTAGCAGGCTTATAGAACTGGGGGTTTGGTGGTCTTCGGCTGTTTTCTGATTAGCCCAGTTCTTAAAACGGGGGTTATTTAACCAGGCTGGCTATGTTGTCTATATTACTAGTATGCAATCAGAAAACAGCACATAAAAGCTCCCAAAGACCCTCAAAACCCCCAGTTTTGGCATGCTATGGAGACTACTAATATTCTCTCTCCCTTTATAACAGACTCAACACCATCCCATTATTTATTACATCTTTGGGTCGGAAATCTGAGACCAAGTTTGAAAAGGATTATGTCCGTATATCTGCGTCAATCGTAAATGGTTAAAATGCTTCTCTGTGAACTACTTGGTACTATATTTCATACATTGTCATCGTAGTATTTCTGACAGTGGGACAGGAGGTTGTTTACCAAAGTTTAGAGAAAGAGAAATCATTTTCGTATATTACAAGAACCCAGAAATCTCATAGCCTACATAGCATGCCAAAAACTGGGGGTTTTGGGGGTCTTCAGGGTCTTTGGGAGCTTTTATGTGCTATTTTCTGATTGCATATAGACAACATAGCCGGCCTGGTTGAATTACCCCCATTTTTTTAGAACTGGGCTAATCAGAAAACAGTTCTATAAGCCTGCTACAGAGGCTAGAAATTTCATCTTTTAACACTTAAGACATGATGCCACATCGATGATGAAAACTTGAGCATTGTCTGAATTCCACATCAGTATCACCTTGTCATCTACTGAAGAAACAACAACAGAATTCAGGACATGTTTTCTACATGCAAGAGACACCCTCTTCTACTGAAGTTTTAGCAAGAAACTTCAACATTATTATGCAACCTTTTCAATTGACTGTCAAACCTAAACATTTCCATCAACCATTTTTGATTAATAAACAACAAAATTTTCCCGATACTCACACCAACGAAATGGATACACACTAAGAAACTTCAACATTTTTATCCAAAACCTCTAACTTCAACCAACTGTCATTAACATAAACATTTCCATTGACCATTTCTGACAAACAATACAACGATCGTGTCCGATACTCAAGTAACAAAACGGAAATTGTTTACCAATCTTCAGAGAGAGAAATAGTTTTCACATTTTACAGAAATCTCATCCATTAACAGTTAATAAATATGATGAAACACATTCCCTCATCTTTCAATACAACAATTGTGCTCAATACTCACAATAACAAAACGGATCCACACAATATATCCAACTCCCGGTACAGTCCTCACAATATGCAGAGCCTGATATACAGCTACAGTTACTCCAGACTAACCCAGCACCAACACCCTGCCAATACTTATAACACCCTCCCCCACACACACACCCCTCTAGGGTGACACATACACCACGCTGCAGGAATGCATTGACAAAACCAGCCCCTGTCCGGGCGGTATTTTTGTCCCGCTGCGCTAAATTTGGACCCCCACTTCCGTAGACTTAGTGGGCGAGGCTATATATAAACTGGGCCATGGGCCAGATATAGTTAAGCTACAGGGCTGGGCTAGCCTTGCCCATGGCTTGAACAAACAGCACCAAATAAACACACCAGTTCTGTTGACTACTGTAAGTCTCTTTAGATTCGCGGGGCCTAAAGTTCGCGGTTTCGGGAAAATGGACAATCCGCGGTATTTTTAGATTCGCGATTTCTCCTTGGCTATTTTTCAAAGAAAACTTTGTAAAGTGTATATTCAAAATAATAAAAGTTCGTGTTCCGGCATTTATATCCTAAAACGCGGCGCAAAAATTGGTTTCGTGCACCGCGCGAGACTGCTGGTGGTATAGCTGACGATCGATCTGACGCACGTGTAAACAATTTTCTTTGTTCGGAAATAAGCGCTAAAACGCTATTTTCCACGACTACACATCGATACTCTAGTGAAGAAATGCATAATCGAAAGAATCTTTCGGGAAAATATATATTACTAAAAATTTTTATGCCGTCTTCGGCGAGATTTTGAACCCGGAAGTATGCAAAGGTCGCCTTCGGTTTTGTAGCGGCCCACGGTAGCGTGTCTATCCAGCAAAAAAAAAAAAAAAAAAAA